AATTCTACAGACTTCACAAAACTTCATCAGACTTCAGAAGACTTCGTAAGATTTCAAAAGACTTCACAAGACTTCAAGAGGCAGATTCCATGTGTATCAACAAAACTTATAGAAATTAAATGAAACCTCTATAACATGCAAAAAAGCTTATCATTAAGTAAGGGTGTCATTTACTATGTACTTTATAATAAATACAAATTACTTATCATTTAATTTAAGCGTAAATCAAATGAAAAGTAAATAGAAACTGACACTCTCATTCATAACGGAGTAACTAGCGTCTTCCGAGCACTAGGAACAGAATGATATTGATAAAATCAACGTTGAAAATATTATTTTAGCTGCATTTAACCGTGCAAAAGAACTAGTTAGTTATTTGAATATATTACCTTCATTAAAGGAATGCAATGCTTGTGAACTTAATGGATTAAGTAAAAATATATCTGATAGTATTAGATTCAACATTAATTCGGATAATTATTTAGCAACGGATTCAGATTCTTCATCAGATTCTGAATCTGATTATGACGATGAAGCAATGGAAAGTAATAAATTTGATAGTGATCTAATCAATGTGGATGAAAAAGATAAAGATGCGGCAATGACACAAAACTTTGATGAAATTAAAACTGAGAAAATAAATTTTACTGGTATGCGTATATTCGATTCGATTAATCCAGGAATGAAAAACTCCTATTTTCAAGTGTAAATAAATAACAAGACTAAATTTATACGCAGTCAAACGGCTTGTTGGTTACTGACCGACAAAGTTAGCCGTTTATCGGCTGATAGATTATCACGAGTGATAGAAACAAACAAAAAGGATTGAAAATCGTCATCAGATTGATTTGGATAGGTGGAAAGTTTCTATAAAAATAAACCACTTCATTCAAAACGCATTCACTTATTAATTATCATGTTTTCTAAGATCCAACAAGCTTGAATTTTTTCCAGTGCATTAAAAAAAATAAATGTGGAAACATGGGATTTAAATCCGAGAGTTATGTGTACTTCAAAAAGTGAATGAGACTGATTAGTCATCCTAGAATGTGTGGGCATAAAAATTATCCTGGCAAACCTTTTCTATAAACAGTTGATTTTTTGGCTACTGCTCAACCACTAGGATTTACAGATGAATACAGCTCAGATTTGAACTCTTCGCCTTGATTTACCCTAGGAAAGTCATTTTTCCGATAACTTGATTTCTATTGGTTACTGCTCAACCAATAGGATTTCGAGGTAAACGGAGCTCAGATTGGAGTTCTCCGGCCCAAAAAACCTCGAACTGTCATCTCTATGATCGAAAGACAGAGCTCTAATTGTGGCTCAATTAGACTGTGGACACAAACAGAACCAATTCCCGTTTAACTACCCTTGCAATAGGTGAGTTGGTCTTCTTGTTTCTTTATGTTTTATATACCATTTTGTAGCTCGTGAAATTTTCTATCGAATGGTATATAATAGTTGGGGTTTTATTTGACTATAATAGGAAAAGTTTTTTATGAAAGCGGGGATAGGTCGATTTTCGCATAGGAAAGCATAGGAAAAAATGACTGTTTTTCCAATAACTCAGCAACGGCTCGGCCAATCCTTCTCATCTTCGAACTTGACTGAGATATTGTTGAGACTAAACTGTGTAGAAAATTTTATCGTAATCGGACTCTCCTTTCAAAAGTTATCGTGTAAACGGCCGGACGGACGGCCGGACACACGGACCGATTCTAGAGTGTACTCACTTTTTGAGTACACAAAAACAATAAAAAGTTCATCTTTCTACTAAAATAATACCGTCGAAAACAAGACAATTTCATTGGTTTCTTGTGAATTTTCATGCACGAAATGTATTTCAAAGCTTCCAGAAGACTTCAAGAGACTTCAAAAGACTTCAAAAGACTTCATCAGACTTCAAGAGATTTCATCAGACTTCAAGAGACTTCACCAGATTTCATTAGACTTTATAAGACTTTAGAGACTTCAAGAGACTTTATGAGAATTCATAAGACTTCAAGAGACTTCAGAAGACTTCGAAAGACTTTCAAGACTTCATGAGACTTCAGCTGTGAAGTCTCCGCTGTTTCCCCCTTGGGTGCACCTGAGAAGAGAAAAAGAAAACAGGGCAAAATAGATTTGCAAACAATGAAAGAACAAGAAAACAAAACGTTAATTGATATGAAAACGTAGTCGACAAACGTTTGTTCTCAATTTACCTTATTATCGAAAGAATAAAATGCGATCATTCAATAGCCCATGTCTAGTCAATCTTCACCTTCTTAAGACTGAATCAAAGTCTTGTATTTTAGCCATCACGAGTCTTGCTCAGATAAGCACTTTCAATTTCGCACATTTGTTTTCTTTTGCAAATATTCTTCTAAGCATATTAAAAACTACCGATTCATCATCAATGCACAGTAATAAAAAGCGTAACCATCGAAACCTTTCCAGTGGTTGTCGCATCCAGTATCGAACGAGATAACATTATCGTCGGTAGGTGTGCACCAGTGCCAGTAACTGGGTATCCAGTCCGACTGGGTACTTAGTCATTTGACGTTTATTTCGCTAATCTATCGGTACTTCCCTCTTTTCTAAGGGTGTGGGTCTGGAGGTTGGTTTGACGTTGGTATGGGTGTCGTTATTGCCATTCTAACTAATCCCGCATCCAAACAACATCCACACCGATATCCATCCAAACAACACTCACATCCACAATCCACCCACGCACATCTACACCCTAGCCATACCCACACCCTGAAAACATGAAATTCGTTTACAGTATTCTAAATTATAACGATTGATATATAGAAATATATGATTAGCCAATGGATTTAGTATCATAACTTATTTCACTACTTCAACAGCCTAAAAATCACTCTATGGCAATATACTCGAAAAGAAAGTACTACTTGACTAATGGACTAAATATCAAAGGACTCAGTACCCAGTCCGACTGGGACCCAGTTCACCAGTCAGAACTGGGACTGGTGCATCCCTAATCGTCGGAATGTTGCAAATGACATCAAAATCAAGAAAAATAAGAACGAATAGTTTTTTGAAACAAATCATTCAATTTGTTTTTCATAATAAAACGTCACATGTCTGCTGTCATTTCTATCTTCACCATTTTGCAATACATTTTTCAAACATATTCAAATTGAAAAAATAAATAGGATGAGATACTTCTATGTCTCCATTATTAACATGCGACTATTGAAATATTTTAAAAAGTCATAAACTGAATGTCTTGAGGATGAAATTAAAATTAATTGAATCGGAAGAGAACGCATAAATTATCCAAATAAGGGTTACCTATTGTCATTTGACTTTATGAAGAGTCAGTGCACGTCAGATGTCACTCAAATACGTTCTTTCAAAAACTAGTTCTAGACTCAAAAATAACAAAAACAAAGTTTTTTTAAAGCAAATGAACTATAATTTACATCAGTTTTTTGAAGAAACGTAACATTCACAGAAGTCTGTTCCATAGCAACATTACCGATAATGTCCAGTCAATCAGTTCGATATGTGCCAGTGATAAAGTGAAAGAATGAATCCACCTCAAGCACGCATTATTCTACCGACGAACGCGACAAGTGCTACCAATCCTCTTGCAGCTACTACTCCAACAGCAATTACTCGTGATACAGTAGTACAGACAAATCGGGAAGGTGAACCACCTGAATATCGTGAAATTAAGACAACTGAACAAATTCTTGAACCGATTTTATTAGAAAAAGCTCCATCAGCAAAAATGACGACAAAGACAACTACGACAACAGTTGAAGAAGTATCAACGATTCCAACTTCGAGGATAACAACAACTGTCCAAGAGATACCGGCTTCAACAGACTACGTATTGAAACGGGCGGACGAGTTCAAACCGTTAGCTGTGATCTCTGATACTACGCCCATCAATAGTGCTAACAATCAGATTGTAGGAACAACGAGTACAGGTAGTTTGACAACACCAGGCAAAATTGTCGGTGATTTAGAACAAGTTGTTTCAGAACACGTGGTAACTACGGTAGCTGAACCAGTGATAAAGAAAGTCGTCAAAACTGTAACCCACGAAACCAACAAATAACAGCAAAAACTACATAGTTTCCTATTCAAGCATTATTGCTAACTAATCAAGCTTTTTGTATACTCTCTCAACTGAAGGCAAAGCCATAAGAAATAAAATGCACTTAGTTTATGTGTTTGTATGCACGTTCCTAGTCACGTGTCTTCATGTATTGGTGTAACTAATAGAGTTTGTTGGTTTTTCGAAATTTTGATTTTAATTTTTTTGATTAAGAAAAATGTTTTTTTACGGGAAAAAATGATTTTTTTCGTCAATTAAAGGAAGGATCATATGAAACAAAATGAATTTGTATGCTTCCTTGGGGCATGTTTGGTAGCACATGTAAAGTCACGTGTTGATAGATGTTTGCACGAGTTTATAGCAACTATTTGAAATGAGGTTTTTGATATTGTTAGCTCAATGAATCAGATGTTTTTGCTATCAGATCTCAGTTAATCGGATTTTTTGGTATTGGCAATCAGCCAAATGTATGTATTCTGGATTAAGGCTTCTGTGTTCACTAAATTGAGTTTGGGTCTTGATGTAGATATGGATTTAGTTTTTCTGTTTATTATCTATACTCTAGTCGAATCAACATTGACATGAAATATGATATAATGAAGTCGATAAATAACACTACTATTAATTGAAGTTGTTAGTATTGCATCTGTCATCGATGAATCTATGATGCAACCCATATCCATACCCTCAAGCTTGTAATAAAAATGAACTTTCTATATATTTTCATCGACATTTTTAAGTTTATAAAAAACTCTAAATATAATTCTAATATAGAACTTAGCAGAAAATGTTTTTATTTTATTTGATTCTTCATAATCTACTAGCCGATACAAGATAATTTTATTCGAAACAATTTTATTATTCCATTCCTGGTTAAAGACTATAATAAGAACGTTAAAGCAATGTCAATTGTCAAAAATCATCAACTTCGATCAATGTTGAACTTTTGTACTCGATGATTTTTTTGATCACTCACATAGAGATTACCATCTCGATCAAATGACAAACCAATGGGATAAGACAATTGATTTGATTGACTTCCTGGACCATTTCCACCAACGAAGACACTTCCTTGTGTATCTCCTGGAGACCAACGCATTATTCGATGATTTCCATTGTCAGCAACATAGACAGTACCTGATTGATCCACGACTATACCACAGGGATTTGATAATTGTGCTAGACTATTTCCGTGACCCTGACCACCAGCCACAACAATGCCTTGTTTCTCACCTTTCATCCACTTCATCACACGATGATTGTTATAATCTGATACGTACAATGAATGATCTCCATCGACAACTACGTATCTTGGATTAGACAATTGATTCAGGCCATTTCCTTGCCCATGTCCACCTGCAATGACTGTTCCTTGATTATCTCCGACCTGATATCGTCTAACTTCATCTTTATCGTAATCAGCAATATAGAGAAAGCCATCATTGTCCATTGTCAAGCCGCAACATCCAATATTTGAGATGATTGTTTCTCCATGTGTACCATTTTGACGTGGCCATCGAACTACTCTTTTGTTACGATAATCACTAATAAGAAGACTATCTCTTTGTTTATCAATAATCACACTCGTCGGACCCCACAACTGATCAGAATGGCTTCCTCCTCCATTTCCACCAGCTACAATTCGACCACTCGTCGTGCCACATTTCCATTCGACAATGCGATCATTTTTGAATTCAGCAATGTAGATAGTTTGTTCATCATCAACAAATAAATCCCATGGATTGTGGAGTTGATTCATTTCACCACCTTCTCCATTTCCTCCAGCGACCGTAACACCATCATGTGTCCATTTTGCATTGGCATTCAGATTGGCAATACGTATTAATGGTACTGAAACAAAACACAATTTCATTTATTCACAATAAATCAATGTATACGTAGATGTAAACGGATATTCGAAGTACAGAATTTTGATTGTGAGAGTGAGACAAAGAATAGTTTTACTCAGTTTTCAAATGTCAAATGATGATAAATATTCGATTCTTCGAATTAAACACCGAAGTCTCTCTTCATCTCATCATCATCGAAAAGCTTCTTATCTATTAAATTTCTTTTTGAATAGAAGTCGATTGAAATGACTACTAAATTTCGGTAGAAATTGGCTGAAAAAAAACTTTTTACTTCAACTATTTTCAAAGAAAGAAAATCAACAGAACGTTATTAAAACTCTTTTAGAAATGAAATCCCAACTGAGAACTATTGCTATGAGTTCAATGACGAGATGAAAAAAAATTCTTTTTTCAAAAACAAACAATCGACACTTAAAGAAATATTTGATAAAGCTTCATGCAGTTTGATTTTCATAAAATCAATCAGTTCGACATGCGAAATATGAGAAAATAACTGTGAAGAGCTATGTCAACTGTTTCTAATCATTCTAAATCTCACAGCTATGACGAAAAGTTAGACATAATTGAAACACATATTAATTTCTAAAAACAGTCAAAATCAACGACTCGCTTGAACAGAGAAAAGCTCCCGACAAAGTCTTAACACAATTCTTTTTTTGTTGGGTTTGCATAGCACTTTAGTCTAGATAGAAGAGAATCGAATCTCGTTAGTTTCACAATGGTCTTTCGTCGAAAACAAAGGTAATCTTTTCTATTCTACTATTGAAAGTCTTGACTCAACAAAGTCCGATCAGTCCGTCGTTTGGTACCGATCAATATCAGCTTTTGATTTATGTCATTGTGAAGAGTAACTTAGAAGAACTTGGAAACTAAACACATGACGGAACAATCAGTAACACATTCAAATCGTGTTCTAATTAGAAATTCGACCTTGTGCCATTTATACTTCACTTCAAAGCTCGATACATTTTGCCCATCTTCAATCTGAAAATGCAATGTATTGAAGCTTCTTGGTCAACGATTCAACTTTCGTGTACTTGAATAACTTTTGATAGGAATATTATAGGGAGCTGACATTTTCAACATTCCAGAGGTGTGAATGTTTGAGTGAATGCGGACGTGTGTTCATTTCATTGGTGTGCTCACCTATATCTGTCGAGCAACAATCATAGTCCTAGAAACAAGCATTACAATCATAAAATCGTCCATTTTCGGACGATTTCGATCACACAGAAAACTCTTTTCTACAATGAAAAGAATCTTATCCAAATGACTATTCTATGTCGTTTTATAAAAATGATTTCGATTTGAATTCGAAATGAAACTTTGAAATGTTGAATATGTTTTATTTTGGATGAAAACCTACTCAGTTGCATCAAAATAATAAGTTTCGAATGGTATGTTATTTAGTTTTCTTGAAGACTGTTTGTTTCAAAATACTCACATTTTTGTCGTTCTTCATGGATATAGATGAATTTATTCCAATCAATTTGATTGTTTTTATGAATAATGATTGATTTTGATATATCTTTTTGAAAAAAATGTTCGAATTTTTGTTGTACCTCATTGAGCTTTTGTTGGAGATGATCAATATCATATTCAGGAAAATTTTCTTCTTGACGACGACGAATTTCTTTTGTAATTGGTTCAAGCTCTTGTTTTGTGATTATTCTTTGTTTTTCGATTAATTCAATAAGTTTATGACGAGCTTTTTCTGCTGTTTCTTCTACTTTGTTGATTGCTGTTTTCTTCCATTCTTCAATTTGATTAAAAAGATCCACCGATGAATAATTCGAGTTTTCTAATTTTTCTATTTCATTAAGAAGTTCGTCATGTAATTTGACAATTTCATTGTTGAATTTCATCGATAATTCTTGTTCGTGTCCTTTGAAATCTTTTGAACAAAAATATTTCTTACATCCAATACAAATGCATATGGCTGAAGACTTATGACAGATTGAACATAAATTTGATTCATTTACTGTTGCCATTTATGTCTGAAGAAAATTACTCGAACTATGTAATTTATTATGAAAATATGTTGATCTAAAAATGAATTCATATGAGTATTTACAAAGAAAAATTAATTTTAAGATATTTAATCAATTTTCTTTATTTATGACTCCTAGAAAATTTTGTTCAACTATCTCTAATATGGTCCCATCTTTATGTAATAAAAACATAATAGGAACGAGATGATATTACTCTTCAATGAATTCCTATGTTTGATTTAACAATAATAAAAATATTGATTGTATTCGCTAGTCATAAATAGCTCACAATTTTTTCTAAAAAGGAACATTCGTTTTACGTGAATCAATTTATGTCGATCAAAGTCAAAATTCAATAAAAAATACTTCCAAGTTTAGTGTAGAAATCTCTCTATAAAGGAGAATAATATTTTCAACAAATAGAAACGCATTATTATTCGATAAAAAATGTATCGTAACCGTATTTCAAAAAAAAGTCTATAATATTATCCCTTGTATAAGAGAAAAATAGAAACTTACTGAAAGTGTATGATGATTGTCCAAATAGAATTTGTGTTTTGTTCATTTGGATAAGAAAATATTCTTGAAAACTTTCTCATATCTTCTATCAAGGATCATGTAAGAGTATTCCATCCCACACTCTCTTTTTGGTCATTTCTGACTCTTGCAGAACGCACAACTGATCTGCCTGAAATTTTTACACAGCATTTTTTCCGGAACAACTGGTATTACCATAGGACCACACCGGATCCGATAAATTCAGATAGGAAGATCAAAAATGAGACCAACAGATTTCACATCTGGAAACTACTTTGAAGTATCTGCGGCTAAAATTTCAGACCGATAGGGCAGAGTTGGAAGGGAATGCTAAGCAATCTCGATGTGGTCCTATGGAAAACCTTGTTTAAAGTTATTTTCCTCGAGCACATATCTCTTCATTTTAGGTATTATATCTCTAGTGAAAACTTCATGTGAATCAGTTGTATCCTCTTCTAAAATCAGAGATAGAAGACAAAAAAGAGGATATCCTTAGTTTGATGATGAATTTTGTGACAAAATTGGGAAAGAAATGAATGAATGAAAAGTCATCGAAAAGGAAAACAAATCTTTCACGATTTCTCTACTCTAAATCTGAATATGAACAGGCTAAGCCTATATTTTGATTTAAAAAAGTGGGAACTTCTGAAAATATTTCATTATAGAAACTATAAATATTTGAACCATAGTTAAAGTTTTTCTTGGTTACTCAGACGTAGCGTTTGATTCAAAACCATATAAAAATTGTTTTCATGCATATTCGATTCCTTTATGTACAAATGAATTGATCTTCATTTAATCTATTCGCAAGTTGTCTTGAATTCATGTTAGCTATTATTTTATATTTTTGTTTGAATTCTTTGTCAAGAGCGTTTTTCTAGTAGTTGACATGTTTCTTCGACAGATGATAAAGATTCGTTGTATAGTGGCTCCTCGATGTCACTCTATAGACTCGACTTCTTGAAATTGAATATTTATTGGATTTTCTAAAGAGATAATATTAATGAAAACAAAAAAGTATTAATGATATTATTTCTTAATATTACATATTAAAGAATTATTTTATATTAAGTTTTTGTAATCTTGAGTTTTTTCTCTACTACAATATGAATTCAGCATTTTGTTATCCAAGTCTTTAAGAGCAAACTTCTGTCAATTGCGTCATTAATCCGAACAACGCTATATTTTCTTCGAACCACAGTAGTAGTTCGTATTGAAGCAGAAAAAAATTGAAATTAAATGATATTCCTTCAACACAATCATTTACATTTTATATTAAATGAATTAAGTGGTAAGTAGGAAAACTTCAACTTAATATGAAGTATTATAATGATTTATTAAGATTTAATATTAAGAAATCAATTAGTGACTACTGATATTCTGTTCGTAGTTGTAAAGATTAATTAACGAATCTTAAGTTAAGTTAATGTTAAAGTAAATGTTTCATTCTCGTAACAGATAATGATTGATTTCAATAAAGTTCCTCATTTCTACGCATTAATTTCTTACTTGTAATTCGATGTAATATTTATTTTGATATTTCGTACAAAGATATAAGCGATAAGTGATAAGCTATACACAAAAAGAACAAATACAACAAAATCCAATGATTCTCACTTTTTTTTTTCTTACGAAGGAAAAAGTAAAGGAGAAAAGAAAAAAGACTCGTTCGTTTCGAACACGTTGCATACAGCTTAAAATTCCCACACTATTTTTTTTGCTTTTTTTATGGTTGATTGGATAAAGCACGTGGATTTATTTGGAAAAGATGCTTTTACAATTTTCATAAGTAGCTTTTTCTGAAAAAATCTCGAATTTCAGATTATATCATAAAATATGTTAACTTTTCATAATATAATAAATAAAATTATTTTTTTTCCAATTTGGAACATATAACTAAATTAACCACAAAAAGCAATCCATTTGGTCTATTAAAATATTATGTAATTATAAAGCATTTTGAATCCTAGTGACTTTAAAAAATTCTGTCACCAGAGAGTTTCCAAAGTAATCAACTTGTTCATTTTAAAAAGATTTCTCAACTTTTCTAATGTGTCCGTTATTCTTTGTTCTTTTTCGGTTCATTTCGTCTGTGGTTCTTCTCAGACGAGATTCCTGATTTTTCAATTTTTTATACTCAACATTTCGAAATATGAAGACAGCTTTTATTCCTTTGTTACTGATATTGAAAAACTAATCTTTCTCAGCGAAAAGTCAAAGCAAAATAAAAATTCTGTTTCACATTTCTCAGAGAGACTGAATGTTGACAATTGCATTAGAAGAGTCGGGTAAGTTTTAAAAATGAAATATTGATTCATTTGAGAACTCTGATGACAATATTTCTTAGGAGTCACTAGAGTTCAACATATTTTATAATCAAATAATATTCTAACAGAATCAATAAATTACTTTTTTTTCTAGACAATGGTGTGACACGAAATGGAAAAAACATGTATACGATTGCACAGAACGAAAAAAAATTATCATGCTTACATTTGTATGACAAATCAATATATTTTTTCATGGCTCTTTTGGAAGAATCTAGTTTTCAAATTTTGAAAGGTATTTTTTCAATGTAATGTAATTCTGTTTTGAGATGCTCACATCTTACAACAAATGCTCAAGGACTTGTCTTTCTAAAGTAAAATATTTCGAGAATTAACTCACTATAATTGAAATCATTATTTCAAATAGATGGTACAATGAAATTACTGCGATAGCGATAAGACTCATCAGATAGTTTGAAGAGTTTGTGTAATGACATGTCTTTCCTCGAATATCTAGGGTATGGGTTTGGGTGTGAGTGTGAGTTGTAATCTTTTTTTGTTCACACCCACACCCATGAAACTGAATTTTCTAATCCGCGTTTTTCTTGTTATCAAAAAAAATTGGTTGATTATCAATATTGAAAGAGTCCTTGTTATGGGGAGAACTTCTAATTTGTCAAAGGTTTTATATCATTTATTCTGTTAAAACCAACATCTGACTCTCTCTGAAATAATGTTATTGAGTCAAAACTAGAACCAGAAAATTACCATATATATCTATGAATACTTTCTTTAACGTAGCATCCCGATATAAGCGTCATCGATTTGATATTCAAGAAGCTATCAAAATTCATACTAAAAAGACAAAAAAAAGCAGCTCAAAGTACTGAACACGAAAATAAGATACGATATTGGTTCAATACTTGTAATTATTAAATACATATAATTTGACTTCGATACTTGATAGTGTAAAATAAAGAAATATTTTGTTTGCTTATATTCACAGAAAAAAAGAATATTTTGAATATATAGAAGCACTGTGAGGCAGACGCGGTTACACCTAAACTGAAGCGGTTTATTGAGTTTAGGTTGTAGAATGAAACCCAAACTCAACTTCTAAGTGGTGTGGATTTTGTAAAGCTCTAATTAATTTCGAAGGTACTGATCGATATGGATATTGAGGTACTGAATTTATCTAATGTTCTTTACAGATTTTTCCCATTTGTTCTAATACATTGAGTGTTGATTATAATGGATACAAAAAGGAAATAATACTACTGAAACTTACCACTATTAACAGCGTTACAACAGTTTCAATATAAGTATCTGCGACTGTGTGTACTAATGTTTATGACGTGCAAATGATATTTATACATGGCAGAGCTTCGCATAAGATAAAAATTTTCCATCCTATGCCATGAGATAAGATAGGGCGTACAGATTTTGATAAATGTCCTGTAGAATAGGATAACTTTTCGCCACTTCTATCTCGTTCTAGCCCATGAAATGTTTATCAAAATATTTATCCTATTCTATCCTGCCACTTTCATAGGAGAAACAGCCATCTATAAGAACATTGTATATAGAAAAATATATACTTTTTTTATCGTATAGATTGTGTTCTTGTCTGTTGCAATGGAACTAGCAAAACTAATATTTTGTTCTATTCTATATAAGTGGTTATGCATTATATCCGTATATGAGGTGTTAGTATCAGAGAAGAGAATACCAACATCCACGAAGAGAAGAATAAAAAGAGAATATACATACATCGAAGACAATGTGATCTAATTTTATTCTGATATACCACAACTAACAGGTCTTATCTAAATCTTATTATTATGATAACAGTTGAAGCATGATCAAATATCACAGAAAAATAGAGCATTGTTTTCAAGCCAATAAATGTATCATTGAATTTTTCGTTTTCAAAAATTATTTGATGAATATGATGTTCAATGCAACCGTTCTTTCTATTTGATCTCATCCTACGGTGAGCTCCAATGCATGAGGTCAAAAAGCAAATAAATATATATGTACTTGATATGACAGATAGAGAAAAGAAATGTGTTCTACTACGATACTCTTTAAAAGGAGAATTAATCCACACATCAACGTTTCGTTAAAAAAATATTGCACAAATCTGTATCTTTTCTCTGATGCGACTGAAAATAAGCAAAAAAAGGGAAACAACAA